AACAATGATGGATCTGGACCAAACTTGGCACAAGCACTCAAGATGCCCAAATATGAACACAAATGGAGTTTGGGGGAAATAGACCTTGACATTTGGGAATTGTAGTTGCTGGGATTTATAGTTCACCTACAATCAAAGAGCATTATGAACCCCACCAACAATAGAATTGGGGCAAACTTCCCACACAGAACCCCCATGACCAACAGAAAATACTTAAGGCCATTCAATCCAACTCTCTTCATCAGGACAAGAAAACGTAATCGAAGTCTTCCTGACAAAGAGCCATCCAGCCATAGATATGGATGGATGGATGGATGCATGGATGGATATGATTCACACACACACAGATATAGTATCATAGATTTGAAAGGGATCCCTAAAGAAGGACAATGATATGTCGCATGTTCCAGGGTGGGCAAACCAGACAATCTCCACATCAACACTGACAAAGAAACAGCAAGAAATACTGTTTACCCACAAGCATAAAGAAATTACATATATTAGAAACCAACACTTTCTCATTACTTTATTTTCCAGATCAGCCGACTGGGCCACAGCAACGCGTGGCAGGGGACAGCTAGTTAGTTATAAAACATGATGTTTTGCTTCTTCTTAATAATAACAACAACAACAACAACAACAACAACACTTTATTTGTACCCCACTACCATCTCCCCAAGGGCTTACATGAGGCCGAGCCCAAACACAACAATACAGACAATAATCACAACAATACACGCAATTAAAATAAAGCATAAGCGATAAACATATAACATTATCAATGAGACAACATATAGTTAAAATTGTGGGAAGGCCAAATGCAAAAATTAAAATTTGAATAGTGCTGAGGCCTGGACGAAGAGGTGAAAGTAGCGTTTGTGGAAGACATACGAGCAGACCTAAAAGTGTAAAGTGCTTTGGAGGACAAAGTGCAATGGGATCATTATTCCGGGAAGGCACACTGGAACAACCACGTCTTTAAGCTCCTCCTGAAGACTGCCAGAGTTGGGGCATGCCTGATGTCCTTAGGGAGTGAGTTCCAGAGTCGAGGGGCCACCGCCGAAAAGGCCCTCTCTCTCGTCCCCACCAATCGTGCCTGCGAAGCAGGTGGGATCGAGAGCAGGGCCTCTCCCGATGAACGAAGAGATTGTGTGGGTTCGTATATAGAGATGCGGTCACGCAGGTAGGCGGGTCCCAAACCATTCAGGGCTTTGAAGGTGAGAACCTGCACCTTGAATTGGGTCCGGTAGATGAATGGCAGCCAGTGGAGCTCCTTGAACAGAAGGGTTGACCGCTCCCTGTAAGGAGCCCCAGTTAACAACCTGGCTGCCGCTCGTTGGATCTTCTGAAATTTCCGGGCCGTTTTCAAGGGCAGCCCCACGTAGAGTGCATTGCAGTAGTCCAGTCTAGAGGCGATTAAGGCGTGGACCACCCTGGCCAGATCTGACTTCACGAGGTACAGTCGCAGTTGGCACACGAGTCTTAATTGTGCAAAGGCCCTCCCGGCCACCACCAACGCCTGAGCCTCAAACGTAAATGAAGAATCCAGGAGGACCCCCAAACTGCGGACCTGTGACTTCAGGGGGAGTGCAACCCCATCCAGCACAGGTTGATTTGTAAAATAATCACATAATTTGACGTTTAATAGGCTTTTCATTCATCCCTCCTTATTATCCAACACTGTAGCTTATACAACATTCTGTCGGCCCGTTTATTTTGGACTCTACTCTACTGTATCTACCTCTATATCTATATCTATCAATCTATCTATTTATTGCGTGCAGCTACTTTGTGCTTGGTGTTCATGCAGTGTTTCCTATATGCTAGTGTTTGATCTAAGGTGACACCTAGATATTTAGGGTGGAAACAATGTTCAAGCTCTTGACTTTCAATTTCCTCTTGGCTTCATGGTTGCGTAGGTGGAAAGCACACCTACACAACCTTTGAGTCTTGGCAGGGTTAGGCTTTGTGTCTTGGCAGGGTTAGGCTTCAGCTGGTTATCTTTGTACTAGATGGAGAGATCTTTCAAGGCTTTCGTAAGTTGGATTTCAACTGTTTCAAAGTCTTTTGCTTGTGTTGTTAGGTCAACATCATCAGCATATATAAAAACATACTGGAGGTATTTGGAGGGACTTATAGGAGTAGTAATTCACCTACACTCAGAGTACACTATGAATAACATCCTGCGGAAACTTACTGGCAGCACATGGGGTTCAGACCCAAAATTAGTAAGAACATCAGCCCTAGCCTTGTCTTACTTAACTGTTGAATATGCCTGCCTTGTTTGGCATAGGTCTGCCCATGCAAAGCAGGCGAACATAGCATTGAATGAAACATGCAGAATAATCACAGGACGTCTTAAACCTACACCTGTTGATAAACTCTACAAGCTAGCTGGCATTGCCCCCCCTGATGTGCGACAGGAAGTGGCTGCCAGTTGTGAGAGAAATAAGGTTGAACCCTGTGAAAGCCACCCACTGCATGGCTACCAGCCTCCTCCCAGTAGATTATTGACGAGCTGCATGGTATTATTATTGGTGGCCCAATAATTTGTATTGTCTATGTGTTGTTGTTTTAAATTGTATATTGTTTTTAATGGTTGTAAACCGCAATGAGTCGCCGACTTAGGCTGAGATATTAGCGGTATACAAGTGTATTAAATAAATAAATAAAATAAATAAATAGATTCAAATCAAGAGGGATGCTTTTGCTGTTCCTCCAGCAACAGCAAGAGCATCCCTCTGGGCAGCCAGACCAGGAAATTCCAACTGGATGCCCCCCCTCCCCTCCACAAGGGTCTTCCTTCAGGGGCAAACCAAGAATGGGCAACTTGGAAGTCCCTGAATAGACTCAGAAGTGGAGAGGGCAGATCAAAAGACAACCTGGCAAAATGGTACTACCTAAAAGAATCCCACACCTTGTGTGACTGTGGAGCAGAACAGACAACTCCGCATCTGTATGCTTGTCCACTATGCCCTGCCTCATGTACAGAGGAAGAATTGTTGGAGACTACAGACAATGCCATTGCTGTTGCCCATTTTGGGTCATATAATATTTAGCCACCTGTGCTCCTTCGATTTTTATCGGTTTTTATACTAATTTATGCAATGCTTTTGATATGAAAAAATAAATAAATAAATCTATCTAAATATATATGTTCCGACTTACATACAAATTAAACTTCAGAACAAACCTACAGAACTTTCTTTTGTTTGTAACTTGGGCCTTCCAACCAGCTACACTCCTTAGAATCATGGACCTGGAAGAGACCACATGGCCCTTGCAATCCATCTCCCTGCAATGTAGGAAAAGCACAATCAAAGCCCTCTTGTGCTCTGTGTCAGCAAAAAGATCCCATGGTTCAAAGGCCGGGATGGGCAAGCCGGAGTTGGAAAGGCCAACCTGCAAGCTCAGGTGTGCAAAGGTTACCGAGAAAACGATCTGTGTCTAGAGATGATTGGGGTGTGATCTCGTCTCCAGTGTGATTTCCCAGGCTGAAATAAAGCAAACCTGCCTCCAACTTGGGCAAGGGGGCTGTTTATCCAAAATGAAACTGCCCCCAAACCATACCACGCAAATCCCCAATCCATAAGAATTTTTAGACAGGTACCTCGGTTTGTGGAGTGAAGCAATATTTTTAATAATAATAATAATAATAATAATAATAATAATAACAACATCTATCTATCTTTGAGTCTACCTTTGAGCTGCTGTGAGAGAAAAGTGGGGTGTAAATAAACATAATAATAGTAATAATAATAATAATAATAATAATAATAATATCTATCTATCCTTGAGTCTATCTTTGAGCCGCTCTGAGAGAAAAGCAGGGCGTAAATAGACATAATAATAATAGTAACAATAGTAATAATAATCCGATACAACAGCCAGCAGAGTGATCTTGTCTGCTGTGGACTCATCTTGTTGTGTTTCTAATAAATAATAATAATAATAATAATAATAATAATATCACACAGTCCTAGACGCTTGGGAAGTGTTCGACTTGTGATTTTGTGATACAAAATCGAGCATATAGATCTTGTTTGCTGTGACATACTGAGCTTTTGTGTCAGTAAAATAATAATAAAAATAATAATAATAATAGTAATAATAACTGGAAAAGCCGACACAATATGAGGATTTAAAAATCGAACTACAAAGACTCTGGCACAAGCCAGTCAAGGTGGTCCCAGTGGCGATCAGCACACTGGGGGCAGTGCCTAATGACCTGGGCCTGCACTTAAACACAATTGGCGCTGACAACATTACCATCGGCCAGCTGCAAAAGGCCACCTTATTGGAATCTGTACACATTATTTGCCAATACATCACACAGTCCTAGACACTTGGAAAGTGCCCGACGTGTGATCCAATTCAACAGCCAGCAGAGTGTCTGCTGTGGACTCATATTGCTGTGTTTCAAATAATAATAATAATAATAACTGGAAAAACTGACACGATATGAGGATTTAAAAACCGAATTACAAAGACTCTGGCACAAGCCAGTCAAGGTGGTCCCAGTGGCGATCAGCACACTGGGGGCAGTGCCTAATGACCTGGGCCTGCACTTAAACACAATTGGCGCTGACAAAATTACCATCTGCCAGCTGCAAAAGGCCACCTTATTGGGATCTGCACGCATTATTTGCAATACATCACACAGTCCTAGACACTTGGGAAGCGTCCGACGTGTGATCCAATACAACAGCCAGCAGAGTGATCTTGTTTGCTGTGGACTCATCTTGTTGTGTCTCAAATAATAATAATAAACATTATTGTCTAATGTTTATTGCTTTGTTTTATGTGTCTATTTATTGTTGTATTTGTTATGCTGTTGTTTTACTGATGTATTGGGTCTGATGTAAGCCGCACCAAATCCTTCGGGAGATGTTAGCAGGGTATAAATAAAGGTTTATTATTATTATTATTATTATTATTATTATTATTATTATTATTAAACCTATTTGCAGAAAGGGCTCAAAATCCCACCATTCCTTTACCTGAACGGCGATCCAGCTGGCATTGACCGAATGTTCTCCAAACGGGCCAAACCCTGCAATGACACAAAAGGGAGGGTGGTCACAAGGGTGGCACTGTTTTCACTGGGAACAAACCACTGGGCAGATTTCCTCCAAAGTGAGATTATTCCTCATTGTATTCTTCTGGGTCTCCCAAACTAGAGCCTCAGTCTAGCCAGCACCCCCAACGTGCAGAAGAGAAGGGGCGACTCATTGGTGCAAAGTATTTCCCGAGCAGCGGATTTCAAAAAGCGTTGAGTTGCCCAACAAACACCTTGCCAAGTCGCACTGATGTGGATTGACTCAAAGAACGAGGCCTCAGTTAGTGCATGCACAGGGGACAAAAACCAGCCTGGGAATCCCTATGAAGGAAGAGCCATGGAGTGGCCAAACATCTACAGATGCAAACCAATTCAACGTTATTTGAGATGGGATGGAAGACCGATTCAGTCCTGGAATACACTGCTTTGTTATATCTTTACATATAAAAAATGAATATATATATGTATGTGTGTGTGTGTGTGGCTGGGGTGTCCTGGGTACCTACCTCCACAAACAGCTATAGCCCCCACTACTCAGGAGACACCAATGGCCCTCCCTTTAATGACATTGCGGGTTATAATGAGTGACAGGAATATATCCAAGAGCTCTGCCAATGTCCTCCACAAACACAACACTACCCATCACCCAAGTGAAGGCTTTCATAAATGGACAATTTCATCCTAGATTTTCTATTTTTCCTCCATCACAGGCATCCCAGTGTTTCTTACTCTCTCCATTGGTGTGGAATTTGCACTGCTGCTCCCTTAACCCATTCCTATTCTTTTGTATGGCACACAGCAAACAGAAAAATTGATCAGCAACTGAATATACTAGAGGTTTGCGGAGAATTCGACATAATTTATAGGAGTTGTAGTTCCTGGGATGCATAGTTGACCCGCAATCGAAGAGCACTCTGAACTCCACCAATGATGGACTTGGCACTGACTTGGTACACTGAAGCCCCATGACCAACAAAACATACTGGAGGTCTTTGGAGGGATTTATAGGAGTAGTAGGTAAAGGTAAAGGTTGTCCCCTGACATTAAGTCCGGTCATGTCTGACTCTGGGGTGTGGTGCTCATCTCCATTTCTAAGCCAAAGAGCCAGCGTTGTCCATAGACACCTCCAAGGTCATGTGGCCAGCATGACCGCATGGAGCGCCGTTACCTTCCCGCCGGAGCGGTACCTATTGATCTACTCACATTTGCATGTTTTCGAACTGCTAGGTTGGCAGAAGCTAGGGCTGACAGCGGAAGCTCACGCCGCTCCCTGGAATCGAACTTGCGATCTTTTGGTCAAGAAGCTCAGCAGCTCAGTGCTTTAACCCACTGCACCACCAGGGGCACCTATAAGGAGTAGTAGTACCCCTATAGGAGTAGTAGTTCACCTATATCCAGAGAGCACTATGAACCCAAACTATTTATTTATTTATTTATTTATTTATTTATTTATTTATTTATTTATTTATTTACAGTATTTATATACCACCTTTCTCACCCCTGGGGGGACTCAAAGCGGTTTACATATAAATAATGGCAAGATTCAATGCCTTACGATGGGCACCGATACGATGCCAATACAAACAATAGTAAAACCACAATGAAACATAAATCACAATTAAAACAATACATCAACAAGCATTAAAACAATAAAACAATGATCGATCTGGACCAATATGCCCAAATTTTAATAATTGGGGGGGGGGGGTTTGAGGAGAACTGGCCTGGACATTTTGGAGTTGTAGGTACTGGAATTTATAGTTCAACTGCAATCAATGAGTACTCTGAATTCCACCAAAGATAGCATTGGACCAAACATGGCACACAGAGCCCCCATCAACAGCAAAAAATAGCGGAGGCCTTTGGGGAAAATTCACCCTGACTTGGGGGAGTTGTAGATCTGGACTAAACTCAGCACACAGACCTGATAGGCCGAAATTTGATTACTGAAGGGGTTTGGGGGGAATTGGCCTTCCTTTTTGGGAGTTGTAGTTCACCTGCAACCAGAAAAGCAGTGACCTCCACTGATGATGGACCTTGATCACATTTGGCACACAGAATCTCATGACTAACTCAACCTACTGGAGGGGTTTGAGGGGACTGACTCACCATAGTGGGAGTTGTAGTTTACCCTACAGCCAGAGAGCATACTGAACCCCAGTGATGATGCATCTAGAGCAAACTTGCCCAACATAATAAACTTTAACTACTGATGGAGTTTCTGGGGGTTAAGCAGGCATGATGTGAGTTGTAGTTCACCCACAACCTTAAGCATTTTGTACACTTAAAAATTGACTTTTTCAAATAACCCGGGCAATGCCAGGGACCCAAGCTAGTATATAATCAATATCAGTCGCCAAAGCTCCTCGACCCAAAGTCCGATGTCTCTTCAGGTTTGCCTTTGTCATCTTTTTTACTGATTTGAAACAGAATTACGAAAGGCTGCCCCAGCTTCACATTTGGGCTTTGGACCTCTCTAATGAGTAACTTTGTGAACTAGCATTGCCCTAATTGCGATGACTGGATAAAGGACGCTTTCGGGTGTTGGATTGCAAGGTTTGTCATTAACATGCAGCAGTTAGTTGTCCTATTGCTCCCTGGGCAAGAGATCGAGGGACAAAAGTAGCCAGGAGATTGCATTCAGCCTGCCAGAAAAGGGTCATGAGAGCTCCCCGTTTGCAGAAATCGCCCGGAAAAGAAAATAGCAAAGCAGCAGTGGTGTTGAGTGGTCAGATGTAACTACCAGTATTTACAAGCCGCAATGTGGTCTTTGCCTATATGTCACCTCCAATAAAAATGTAGAAGAAGCCAAACACATGGATACATTAATGGACGGAAGGACAGACAGACAGATGGATGGATGGATAGATCAATGGAAAGATGGATGAACAGATAGATGGACAGACGGATGGATGGATGGATAGATGGACAGGAGAATGTACAGATGGATGGATACATTAATGTATGGATTGACAGATGGATAGATGGATGAATAGATGGATGGATGGATGGATGGATGGATGGATGGATAGAGGGATGGATGGATGAATGGATGGATAGATGAATGTATGGATAGACAGATGGATAGATAGGTGGCCGGATGAATGGATAGATGGATAGACAGATGGATGGATGGATAGATGGAATGGACAGATCGATGGATGGATAGATGGACGGATAGGCGGACAGATGGATGGTTAGATGAATGGATGGATGGATGTATAGACAGATGAATGGATGGATAGATTAGTAGACAGATGGATGGACGGACAGATAGATGAATGTATGGATAGATGGATGTATAGATGAAAATATGAATTGATGGATGGATGGACGGACGGACAAATGGATGGATAGATGAATGGACAAATAACTGGATAGATGGTTGGACGGATGAACAGAGTGATCCACACTCTGGTTACATCCCGTATAGACTACTGCAACGCTCTCTACGTGGGGTTGCGTCTGAAGACTGCCCGGAAGCTGCAATTAGTCCAACGAGCGGCAGCCAGATTACTAACAGGAGCAGGGTACGGGGAGCATACTACTCCTCTGTTGCGCCAGCTCCACTGGCTGCCAATTAGCTTCCAAGCACAATTCAAAGTGCTAGTGTTGACCTATAAATCCCTAAACGACTCCAGCCCAGTTTACCTGTCCGAACGGATTCTCCCCTATGAACCATCAAGGTTGTTAAGATCTTCTGGAAGGAACCTGCTCTCGGTCCTACCACCCTCACAATCGCGTCTGGTGGGGACGAGGGACAGGGCCTTCTCGGTGGTGGCCCCTCTGCTCTGGAACTCTCTCCCATTGGAAATCAGAACTGTCCCTTCTCTCCTGACCTTTAAAAAGTTGGTGAAAACCTGGCTCTGGAATCTGGCATTTGATGAGTGAGTCAATAACTCTTGACCACACGGACGCATGGTGTTGAATTGTGATTTTATTCTGACGACTTGGCCTTATGTAATTATATGATTGTATTTTAATGTGTTTTCATATTAGTGTATTAGGGGATGTGATGTTTTAAACTATTGTGTATGAATCCTCTGTTGTCCCTCGTCGGAGGTGAGAAGACCGGTATATAAAAGTTCTAAATAAATAAATAAATAATGAATGTATGGATAGACGGATGAATGGATGGATGAATGGACAGATAGATGGGATGGATGAAGGGATGGATGGATGGATGGATGGATGGATGGATGGATGGATGGATGGATGGATGGAGATATGGATGGATGGAGGTATGGATGGATGGAGGTATGGATAGATGAATGAACAGATAGATAGATGAATGTTTGGATAGACAGATGGATGGATGGGTGGATGGATAGATTAATGTTTCAATAGACAGATGGATGGACAGATGGATGAAGGAATGGATAGATAGGTGGCCGGATGAATTGATAGATGGATAGACAGACGGATGGAGGGATAGATGGACAGATGAATGAACGGATGGATAGATGGATAGGCGGACAGATGGATGGATAGATGAATGAACGGACTGATGGATAGACAGATGAATGGATGGACAGATTAGTGGACAGATGGATGGACGGATGGACAGATGAATGTATGGATAGATGGATGGATAGATGAAAGTATGAATTGATGAATGGATGGATGGACAAATGAATGGATAGATGAACAGACAAATAAATGGATAGATGGTTGGACGGATGAACAGATGAATGTATGGATAGACGGATGAATGGATGGATGAATGGACGGATAGATGGATGGAGATGACTGGAAGGACAGATGGACAGAGACAGATAGAAAGGTAGATATCTCTGTCTATCACATCTTCCACCTTTTCTGACTTTGTGTCACAAACTATCCTCTTGGACCCATGTTGGCCTCTGTTTTTTTTGACAGAGGCCACAGAGCTCCACTCTCTCGGCCTCAGAGGAAGGCCAAAGTCACCCTTACCATGGATGGATCTAGCAGAGAGAAATCCTAGTCTAGCTTTGATTTAGGATTAAAAAACCACA